ACCTTTTAAAAATCCTATTAGAAACTAATTGCTATGCAAGAAGACTATTTTTCTACACAAAAAACTAGATTAAATTTATGCGTCGCTCCGGCATTATTACGTTATTCTTAAATCTGAATCCAGCATCTTGGTCATTATCATTAATGGTGCTACAGCCCTAGTTCAGCCGCAACTTTCCCCAGTCTACTTCGCCAGTCGTTTCTGCTCATCGCTAACCGTTTGAGCCGCCGATACTGTTACCGTGTTTGTAACTCTGCATCGCTTATAGTCTTTTCTAATGCTATATTAAAGAGAAGACACGCCAGTGCATCTTCCTGCCGTAACCCCGTATGTTTTAAATTCTTGTGATAGATCGCCTCGTATTTGCACTCTGCAGATCATTTTACTCATAAAAAAAACATAGAAGTTAAAACACTTCACACTTGTATTGTGGTATAAAAACACATAGATAAAACTTTTTTAAAAAGTCGTCAAAATTTATGTACTAGCGTAACGTTTTCGATCTGGACAGATCATCCTCAGTGCCTTATGTAGTTGAAGCTAACAATAAAGTTGTGGCTGTCACCTCCATATATGGGTTTACATCATTCCAAATTTTAATTATGTTGTGACTCTAGGTCGATGACAATGGATAAATTTTATTACTTCAGGGACTACATGTCTCCCTGCTCGATTTTTAACACGTGGTACTTGTCAGTTAAAACGACACAGACCAACTGGCTGAGGTGACAGGAATATAATTTAAGAAGACAGCTGAACCTGACTAGGTATAGGTGTGTTCCGAGAGTAATGTAATTTTTTTTATTAATTGTACGTTATGCTAGTACATAAATTTTGACGACTTTTTTAAAAAGTTTTATCTATGTGTATTTATACCACGATACAAGTGTGAAGTGTTTCAACTTCTGTGTTTTTTTAAACGATGGTATACAGCCAAATACTGGGATTTTCCCATTAATTTTTATTTTACTCACTAGTTGTTTTTACAATTCTTATTAATTTATGTGGACAAGTTCATTCATGGAATCATATAATTGACATCTTAGAACGCTATCGTACGCTGATATAATGTCCACAACGAGATGAAACATATCAGTGTTAAATTCATTGTTTTTTTCTAAGATTTGACGTAGCACAAAAATCTGAATAGTTGATCCAGGTAGTTCTTCCCGGTACGTACTTAAACGGCTGTATATGTTAAAGAATATAAGAATTTTGTATATTGTGTTCAGAAAAGCTATACCCCTATAATTTTTACATTTCAACAAATCTCCCTTTTTGTGCAGTGGTATGATTCCAGAGCACCATTCCTCTGGTATTTGTTGTTCCTCCTTAACTTTGACTATTAACCTGTGAATTTGGTGCATAAGCTGCTACCTCCATGTTTGATGAGCTCTGAAGGGATAAAGTCCACTCCTGGGGACTTATTTATTTTTGGCCTTTGGGGTAACGCATCATTTTCCACTTCGGTACCAAGTAGTTCTTTGAAGTGATCAACCCATCTGCTTTGTACTGCGTCACTGGTACTAACTATATGTCCATTTCTGTCCTACACATCGTCAGTCGTGGTTTGAATTCTTTTCTTGTCTTATTTAGGATGTTATAAAACTTAAGAAGATTGCGTGAGGCAGTGACAATAAAACAGCCTAATTTTTGGCGAGCGTCGACTGATTTCTTCTTGAAGATAATTAGCCAACACATTTTCGAACCTTGTGCAATAATTTTTGGCAAAACACAATGTTACACAACTCCGCCAGTCTTTGAACAGTCCAGAGAATTGTTCGTATTTTAAAATTTAAAATTGCGCTTAAAGGACAATGATTCGGCGACATAATTATATGGGTGAGGCGATGAAGCACATTAAACCTACCAATTTTCCGCAGCAAAGTGAATCCATATGCAACTTTTTGCATTCGATTCGGGAAAGTGCCAGGAAAGCTTGTCATTAAGATTCATGGTGGTAAAACGAAAATTGCATTTTGTGAATAAAGAAAATTTATTTCCAAAGTGCACAGAAAATGAAAAATTTGCAACTAAGAAAATATCGAGAGAAATGAGCTCAATTTTGTTTCTCGGCGGTTTTCGAAGTCGCTGAACACGAATATGATAGTGACGACGGTTCTCGATCTACCTGGTGCACAGGGTGAATCTCGTCTCCGTAAGTTTCACTTTAATTTCATTCTAAATCAGTCGACAGTCATTACTCGGGGGGTTGTTGAAATATATCGTTGATAAATGACCTCAGAATAGCTCATGCAACTTTATATAAAAGTTCAAAAAATTCTCCAAAATATTTTTTAAATTTAATGCTTTTAAGCATAATGAGGTGACACAAGATGATAAAGATTCATAAAGTAAAATGGACCCTTGGTAAACAATTGAAGGATATGACAACTTCACAACGAAAGCTACTGAAATAAGCCGATGCGAAAAACATAATAAGTTGTCTGTCGTTTATTTCAATGAAAATATACCTTTAGAAAAAATTTTACTAAATGCTCATAATAAAATTATTATTAAAATGTTACAAATTAAATTGACTTAAGTAGGCTTTTAATATATCAAATTTGCAAAGAAATTGGCCTGTCTGGTGAGAAAATAGTTAAGCATGGCAATTTCAGATACCGGATGACTATAGACCATAAAATAATTAGTTGGCTGAAATGTATGGTATAAGATCTATCCCACAGCTATTGAAAAATGAATGGATTCACACAGAATCTAAAAAAAGTTATTTACGAGTTCAAACTTGGTTGTACTGAAGAGTTTTAAATGGACTGGGGATGGAAGCTCAAAGAAAATTCGTATCAGTCAGTGAAGATTGTAGCATTTTGGTTTCACATGGTATATCGTGGGATCCGAAAAAGATCATTAATCTTTTTGCATTTCTGAGATTGATAATCTAAACATCTTGGAGTCTGTCTATAATAAACAAAATTTGTCTGTTTTTGTTTGTAATGAATTCCGTTCATCGGAAAACTTGAATAGAAGGAAACACTTGGTAGACCAGCCTCCTGGTCTACCAAGTGTTATGGATTTAATTTTTTCAGTTGCAAAAAAAGACTGTGGGAGCTCATGTGGATGTAGAAAGAATGGCTTGATTTGCAAGTTGACATCTAAAAATTGTGCTGGGTCAACTTGCACGAATATGGCACATACTATGAAGAAAATCAATTATCTGATACAGGCGACGATGAGGAATAAATAAATTTTAATGATCCGATTATTTATTAATCATTTTTTTTTTACTAATAAAAAAATTGTATTTATATTCAAGATATTATATTTTAATTCGTATTTGAGACCACACTTTCACTGTTGATATTTTTAAAGTTGCAAATGTTTCAATTTCTATTCACTTTGGCAATATATTTTCCTTAAGAACAAAATGAAATTTTAATTTTATCACCATGAATTTTGTTAAAAAATTTTCCTGACACTGCTTAATCGATATCGATAGTTGCATAGCGATTCATCCTGCTGCGGAAAAATTGGTAGGCGTAGTGCTTCGTTATCTCGCTAAATAATTTGAACGAAAGTGACGATGCCATAGAAGATCATAACAAAAATTTAATTCCCGAACTGTTTCAGTGACTTAAGCATCGATGAATGTAGAAGACTACTTAAAATTCCTGGAAAGATCACACAACAAATGTCGAAATATTAAATCGAATGAGCAGAAAACGAGAATTGCTGCCAATAATAAAAAGAAAAACTGCTTATCTGGGTCATATATTTCGAAATTCCAAGTACCCGTTCTTAAAGCTTATTATGGAAGGGAAGATAGAATGAAAACGGGACATCAGAAGAAAGAAATACTCATGGCTTAAAATAGGGATTGGACAAACCTCGATGCCCATGCACTCTTTAGAGCCACACAAGATCGAGAGGAGTATGCCAGAATTGTCGCCAACATCCACTAATTGGATGGGGCACCATAAGAAGAAGCATCAATGTGAGCATGTTGTAAGACGAATGGGAATTATTTCGAAGGATGGATGATGAAGTATAAAGCAGTGTAAAGTTTGGATACTCTTGGTACAGACCTCCTACTTCCCAACCTACTGAAGAAAAGTAGAAGTAAAAAATCTTAGCAAAGAGGAAATCCAACAGGACAACGATACAGTAAGAAATGTAGTAATTTTTAAAAATAGATATTCAGAAACGAGCAATTACAGTAAAATACTTATAAGTTCTTTTATATTATCGTCATTATTATTATCATCTAACCAATTCCTGAAGCATTTAAAAAAATATTTGTAACCATATTAAAAACAACGTTGTAAAATAGTTTCTTTATAAAAAATATGAGTGCCTTGATTAAATTTCACATCAGAAGGGCCATTCTTATAATTTAAGAAGATTCGGGTATATTTTAACTCTCTTGTTTTAAAACTTGGGAAATCACCCTCAAAACATATTAATTTGAAAAAGTACTCATATTACCTGTTGAGCTTCAAAAAGAATACGACCAGTTGAGCAGGACACATTGGCAAGGATTTTTAATTGTCAGTAAATATCTTTTGTTTTTAAAATGAAGAAACACACATAAAAAATATGTTTATATGTAAAAAAATTATTGTAGATGTGATAGAAAAAAAAGGCAAGACAGTTAACTGTATATAAGTTCAAACAAATCCAGATGTACAAAATTCAATGAGGATAAATTGCTACTGATTAAAGCAATGAACAAGATATAGAAGATTTTAAATAATGAATAATTCTGTAACTAAAGAAAAGAGAAACGTTTTATCCAGAATATATATAAAAGTAAATACGTCTGCGATTGTATGTCAAATCTTCATAAAGAATCGATACATTCAAACAAAATCGTAAGAATAGCTCCTTCGATAGCGAACAATTTTGATTACAAAAATTTCTTTACGGGAACCACGACGTCGTCCTCAAACTTAACCTTTGACAGCTTGAACCAGCTTAAACCCTGCACAGTACTGTACGCCCCCACGTCCCTCTATACATCGCAACTTCCGTAAATTTACCTTGCTGTTCTCTGATGACAGGACTCGTAAACTGTACCAAAACATTGCCATCCTTGCCGGTCACGTTCAAACCTGCCTCAGGAGCATTGATGGCAACTCTGTAAGCTTCTTCAGGAGCGATCTGTTTCAAAGCAGGAGGTAGCAGTTCGACCACCTTCTTTAGGAGCGTTAAAGTGGGTTTGTCGGCGCAGAGCACGACCAGCTGGACGTTCGTTTCGCCGCGGAGAATCAATCCTTTTGAGAGATGTCCTACGCGCATCACGCCTTTGAGAATTCTGGTCGTATCGCCTTGTTGAAAGGTGAATCTAAAAGTACCATTATATGCTATTAACCAACGATATAAGCAATTATTAATATACTAACAGTTGGTTATCACGTCCGTCTTCTTTCTGCGGTACATCTGACTGTTTAGCCTCCAATTCCGCTTTGGCGGCGGCTGCAGCTGCCGCTGCGGCTGCTGCAGCAGGATCTAACTTCTTGACGGGAGTCTTGGCGTCTGCTATTTGGTCTGATACAATCTTCAGAGCTCGTTCGGTGTTGGAAACTATGGACTCGATAGACTGAAGTTCGTCCTCTTTAGGATATATTTCAGCATGACGAGCCATCACGTGTTTGTCATCACTAGATTCGGTTCTACGAGGCATACCAACGAAGAACTAAAAAAAAGATTATTAAATCACTTAGAAGAAAAAACAAAATAGAAATATATACAATCAGATCAATTTTTAAAAAATGAGTAAACTTACTGGACCACTTTGGTATGGTCTTCCTCTGTGGAAGGGACCTATTCCCATATATTCATCGTCATATCTCCTATTATCCCAGTATCCTTCTTCATTTCTCCTGGCCCAAAACTCTTCCCGCATAGCCTAAACAAGAATAAAAATTATTCTATTATAGATTATAATCATAAGGTATATGTATGTATATTAATAAGCAGATTAAATTAAAACAGAGTGGCTGTTTTTTGTTCATAAAGAGATCATTGCTTCTTCTTACAAAATTCAATCCAACTGGTAAATCCAAAAAGCCAAGATTTTTATATAAAAAATGCCTTGAACCACCAAGAAATTATAATAAAGTAGAGATAATATTATCTACTTACGGCTCTTCTCATTTTTTCTTCTTGTATCTTCCTTTGTCTAAGCGAAGGCTTTACATCCACTACTAGATTGGGATCTACTTTTTTCTTATATTGTAACCTATGTCGTCTACCTTTCATGTGCATTTCCTTTGCATTCGGATCACTAAATCTACATTCACATAATTTACAATTGAAACTGATAACCTAAAACAAAGTTTTGAATAATTAATTATGGAATATTAAAAACAAAGATGAAAAAATTATTATGAACAAAGTGGTGTTGAAATCAATTTAAAAAGAAAATTATTAAGGAAAAATAAACAATGAATAGTTGAAACAAAAATGTAATTAGACCAAGCATTAGAAGGCGGACGTGACAGCCCCTGGTTTTATGACTTGTACAAAATCAAACCGGGAATCTAGTTTTTCAGTATTTGTCTTGAGTAGAATTCATGTAGGCCAGAACAGTCAATATATAACAGTTCCGGTGTCGTGACAACCACCTACACAGCTGTGTAGAAAGCTAAGGGAATGACTACTACACTATTTTTCCCAGGATTATCATTACGGCCCCGAGGAACTAAATGAGGGCCCCGAGTACGGGCGCCTGTTAAATGAGGCAGATGTGCGAGATGAAAAGACTGTATATATCAATGTTGGTACTAGTAAAATGGGGTGGTCCGGATCTGGCCAATGCAATGATGTTAATCATAAAGTATATTATTCAGGAGAAGACTGGAATTATCATATTCGCAATAATTTATGATGAATTAAATGAATAGAGGTTGGAACGAGTGGAAACAAAAAAGGACACAAAATGGAACAATGCAAACGATTTATGAAAAGTACACGAAATAAAAATAACTTCATTTATACCCTACAATTTTGAGAATCGAGGAAGAAATATGTATGTAATTTCAAATAAAAAATCTACCTTTCCATCATCGCTCTTTATCTCTTCAATATAATCTTGTCCCACTGGCTGCACGTCAGCTTCCGGAGTATCATCATCGTCATCTTTGGAAGCCTCTCCATTGCCTTGTGGTGTGGAACCTAGACCACCCCCTTGCACGAAATTGATCTTTGAATCACATGAAATCGACTTCTTACTACCGCCTAAAACTTCTGGTTCTTGTGGAGGTATTGGCTTGCCTAGTTTTGTGTGAAGCAGAAGTACTTTTTGATGTTTGGCGCCTCGGATATGGGCAGCATATGCATCATTACCTAGACAATACAAAAAAATTCGTTAAAAACAAAAGTTTTTAATGTTTATTGATTTTTTTTTGCATACCTGTGCAAGTCACATCACATAGTTGACATCTGAGAGAGTTTCCAGATCTGTTTTGACTTGTGACTGTGACAGATGCTGCCATTTTAGAGGCTGCTTCTCGTTTCTTGTGTTTCTGACCTTCTAAATGTTCCTGATATGTTTGTGGACCAGCACAGCTGAAAATATTACAAAAATGTTTCTATGTACAATGATAATTTTTTTTATTTGTAATAATATTGTAACTAATTCAAAATACAAAAAAAAACAACAAATAATCATTTTATTCTTATACAAACAGTGGAACCTGAATATCTCAAACCTAATTAGAAGTGAGAAAAAAAGTAATTCCCTTGTGTAGAAGCCCTTAATACTCGATATCTTGAATTATTTAGACAAAACATTTCCTTACAACATAGTGTTACGAACATGCTTTTGGCATGGCCCATTTGCATCTCGAAAAGGCATCGAGAATTTTCGCGATGTATCAAGCGCTGTAGAAATCCATTTGTCAAACAACGAATTAGAGGTGGGACTACTCCAAAAGATTCGAGAAGACGGCACTAGAAGAAGAAGAATTGATCTACAAGTTTTGTCAACATAAGAATCAAAAGGAAATTGAAAACTTTAACCCTAAGTGAAAATATTGACGTTATAAACTTATTAAAAAGTGACAAGAAAACTGAAATGGCAGATCAATATAGATTACTGCCAAGCACTTTCTCGATAATAAAAAATTCAGAATAAGCCAAAATATTGCAAAGATATGAATCAAGTATCATTATTTATTTCAAAAAAAAGTAAACAAGTCGAGTTTCCTGATTCAGAAGAATACTTGCTAGAAAACTAGGACACAGTTTTATTCGAATCAGCAATGGTTGATGGAATTTTTAAATGCAACTATTGCAATCTGATGAACATTTTCATAAAAAAGAAAAAAACTAATCTCTATATTTTGATAAAAAAAATTACAGTAAGTACGTAATAATATCTATTTTTAATTTATAGATACTATTTTTAGAAAAATAAATAAGCTATGATAATCTTTAGCATTATAATTAATGACCGTTAACAGGCGATCATAACGGTTTACTTCAAATTTTTTGGGAAGGTATTTTTGAAGCATTTTCTTGTTTTTGCAGATAAAATAAAAAAAATTAAATTACGTTGTAGTAGTCGTAAAGCATACGATCTTTCTAAAATGATTAATGAAGAAGTGTGAGAAATTAAATATTAGATTCATGTGTTAAAAACAAAAATGCAACTCCATTATCAAATCCCACAAATCTGGAATAAAATTATTTGTCCTATGCAATTTGTACGAATCTATGGATACTCTTACAGATTCGAAATTAAAAATGGAGAGTATCAGGATATCATCCTACCAGAAAATCTTGATCTTAGTGCAGCATAGATCTATTTGTTTTTCTCAGACTATCACTAACTTTAAAAACTATGTTATCTACTTCAATAATTTTTACACATTTATTCATCAGGAACTCTTCGACCTAATCAAATTCGAAATTCTAAATTGCTAGCTGATAAGGATAAGCAACTAGCCAGAGACGAACTAGGCCAACTGGGGAATATATGGGAATGGCATATTATATTAAAATCAGTACTATAAGTACTAAGTGTTGAAGATATATATCTACCTTCCACTTATTATGTAGGATAACAGCCATCCAAACTCTCACTTTAGCCATTCAATTAGAAATTTTCAGATATTTTGAACCAATTAAGAAAAACAAAACAGTTAGAGGGTTTACTTTATTAATGAAAATAAAGAGAATGGTGACGCTGATGTCAACAATCTACCAGATTGTGAGCCAGTAATATGGAGTAAACAGGTCAGAGAAGCTATGCTTTCATTGTTCATAAAACCAGAAAATTAACATATTTTGCAGAAAAAATAAGATACCTGAAAAAATTCAGCTTGTTACTACATCCAGCACTATAAGAAAAAAATATTCGGAGGATACATCCAGAAAGAACATCATGGCTTAAAAACCTGGAACAGTGGTATGGATAAGCAATCCGAGAATCTTTCTTGAATGGCAGTTAATGAGATAATTGCCAATATGACAGCTAATGCCAACTAAGTAGATATAGTACTACAAGATCTTGAAATACTCATTAAGATAAAAACTTTTTGTAGTTCACTTGAGGTTTGAGTTATCGAGGTTCTATTATAATTGTTCTAAACAATCTAGAACCCAAAACCATTTAGATAAAATAATGTGACAACAAATGTTCGCTATTAGTATATTCAGTGTCATTAGTAGTGTTACACTCAGAAGAAATAATTTCTTAAACTTAATTTTTTGGCAACATGGTAGATTTACATCAAGAATGAAACGATAAGATAAGATTAAGATGGGCAGGACATCTAGCAAGATCACAGCAGAACAACCCTCCTAGAAGAATCCTTATGTCACAACCCGTGGGAAGCAGAAAAAGGGGTAGGCCAAAACTCAGATGGAAGGATGGTGTAGATGAGGATGGTAGAAAGATAGGCGCAGCAAACTGGCAACGGTTGGCAATGGATAGGACTGCCTGGCGTAATAGACTTGGGAAGGTCGAGGCTCTTTCATAGGGCTGTAGCACCATTGATGATGATGATGATGAAACGATAACGTTGTCAAGAATTTTTATTAACAAGTAATCAAAAAAAAATTAATGTGTTTGGCGACCCCGTAGCCGAATACGCTCCTGTATACGTCTAGCAGAGCTGGGTAGTATCCGGATACTTCTGTATCCGGATACAGTATCCGGATACTTTTTGTGTATCCGAAGGCTGTATCCGGATAATTTTTAAATTTTGTATCCGGTATCCGTATCCGTGACCAAATTTGAAAGTATCCGGTATCCGGATACTTTTTTTGATGTCCGGATGCTTTTAAATTTTTAATGTTCGACGATAATGGAACTACTTTACGCACCACACTGCCCTATCTTCAATCCAGGTGTACATAGTATGATCGTTGAGTGAGAAGTATGATAAATCCCATTTTCCATACTCGTGATCGTGATCGTTATAATATATTATTATAGCCAATAGAGCTTTGTTTTTACCTAATCAGTTAAAAATCTTCAAGAGCCCTGTATAATTAGAAGAATTTGAAGAACCCTGTATAATTAGAATAAAGTATTTTTTCGGATTAGAATAAAGTCATTCTTAGATAATATTTATAATTTTGGTTTAGTGTGTCCCTATTTCCCCTAAAGTTTAAAAGTTAAAAACTCAGCTGATTCGACGCTGGCGAAATTCAATATCGAAAGCTCAAGACAGTGACACGTTTCGTTTTTACAGGAAAAATCCTGCAAATTCTTGTCTACCGAGTACAGACACGGTGATATGATAGAAAAAGTTTTTCATTATTTCAGTAGTCCATTGCTCATTTGTGTAAAAGGTGTAGTGCGTTTACATGCGTATAGTTTTTTCTATTCGGAATAACAGAATTTTCTAAAGGTAAGTTGCATTTAATTTTCGATTTAATTAGTAGATATCTAAAGTTTACTGGCGTTTTATTATTAATAGTAGTCTAATATTAGTAGATTTCTAGAAATAAAAAAAGAAAAAATGCATTAGTTATTAAATAAATAGGTATCTATCTAATATCTATCTGATGGTAAGTAAAAAAAGTTATAATTATTTGTTAGAAGACTACGTGATCACGCAGCGTTACTACGAAACCGGAGTAAATAATTCTTATTTAGCAAATGATTATGATTACTTATTGAGATACAGGGAGTCAAAATTGCAAATTTAAATTTTTTCTAGTAGCATAGGCATAGACATACTTGACGATGTTTTGTTAAGTTTTTAAATGACAGCGTGGTGTTTGAATTTGAAGAATGCATTAGTTATTAAATATATATCGGATAGTAAGTAAAAAAGTTATAATTATTTGTTAAAAAAGACTACGCGATCATTATTATTGAGCAAATGATTATGATTACTTATTGAGATACAGGGTGTCAAAATTGCAAATTTTTGCAAATTTAATTTTTTTCTATTAGCATAGGCATCATAGACATATACATGAAGATGTTTTGTAAAGTTTTTAAATGACAGCGTGGTGTTTGAATTTGAAGAAAACAAAAAACTAAATTACATTAAAACACACAGAATTTCACAATTTTTTAGTCCCGTCTAACGTCTATTTCATACAACTAAATAACTACAACAATAATGTTTATGCCGTATTTTGTTTTTTTATCATTTAATAACAAAATTTCGATGGAGTTACGTTTAAAATTTGTATACCATGTCCTTTCAGACCATTCATTTTAATTCGTGTGCCATGACAAATTGTGATATTCTTAAAATATTTTCAAACTAGCTTTGTCGAATTTCGATAGGAGAGCTCATTTCGTTTAAAAAATGATAGTATGAGGGGGTAAGTTAGACAAGCTTTTTTTTTAATTCCAGATAGAGCAACATGAATTCAATTGATCCTGCAGTTGCATCTACCAGTTCCAATCCAGAACAAAGTGATGACACTCCAGAAGATCCATTTGCTACAAGTTCAGATGATCCCGATTATCACCTAGACCTAGAAGAAGAATTATCAGATTCCGATTCTGCCCAAAGTATACCTCGAAAATCTCAGACAAATTCTCTTATGAATTTCTTCAAACTAAAAGGAAAAAATGAACCAAACCAAGTTTGTATGATATCCGAACCTCGTAACAAGACTTGTTAAAAACATGGGAGAAAAATCTGATGATCCACAAAGTTCGCAATTTGCTTGTAGTTCCTCCATACTAGATGGAAAATACTTTAAAATAAAAGAAAACGACGGCGAAAACATTACAGCTGATTGTCAACTCTGCCTTCCACAGAAGAAAACCATAAAAGGGATAAAAGGTTTTTCTTCAAATTTTTTTAAACACTTAAAAAGGATTCATCCTAATAAAATTGACGAGTATAATAAGTATAAAATTTCAAAGAAAGATTTGACCAGAAAAAGACTTAATGCAACTCAAGATTTCGAAAGTCGAGAACCCAAACAAGCTAAGCTTATTCAACCAAACATTTTTGGAATGGCCAAAGAGGGAAGCAAATCAGTTTTAAGCCAATCTCTGTTTGAAAAAAGAATAATAAATTTTGTTGTGAGCACAATGAGTGCAATATCTATAATAGAACACCAAAGTTTTAAGGATATCTTCCAAGGATTAAATTTGAAAATACCAACAAGAAAGACAGTAATGAAACGAATTATAGATTCGCACGATGAAAATATGCAAATTATTAAAGATAAAATTAGGGGTGTTAATTACGTATGCACTACAGCTGACATATGGTCAAATAAAAAAAGAAGCTTCTTAGGAGTTACAGTTCACTGGTTAGATGAGGACTTTATCCGCAAATCAGCTGCACTTGCCTGTAGAAGGTGAATAAATTATAATTGTATATTTTTCGATATTTCTTTGGTTAAAACGCTACGATCTACCTAATCTCAAATATTAAGTATTTAATCATTCTACGGGGTAGCCAAAATCCAAAAAGGAATGATTTTATGAAAAAAGATGAAACACTTTAATTTATACAATTATTAAACTTACAACTATTTTTAAATATACAGTATGTTCATGTTGTAAAGAATTATAGAAATAAGGCAAAGCGAAGATACATTTTTCAATCGGAAAACTTTATACATTTGTAAAGTTTCGTCAATGATCTGATTTCCGATTTCAGCAATATATTTATTTGTTAGATTTAGGACCTAGCACCTTTTTGCATGGAAGCAATAAATTAAAAATAAAGAAAATCGTTGCTTAAGTTCCTATCTTACCTTTTGAAGTACTATTCAATGCACTAATAATAGTTTATTGTCCGAAATTATTGATTTTTATCACCCTTTTTTATTTATCGCATTGACTAGTACTTACTTAAAAAGATATTTACAAGACAGCCGATTTTCTGTTTTCAACAATTATCATGTGAAAACAGGTACACAGCTAAATTGTGATTTTCAAATATCTATACCTCCTAAACCCAAATATTTAAACAAAATGCCGAAATCAGATAATGCAGGAGAATTCAAAATTGTAAAAATATATAGGATGGTTCAATTGAAAATATGTATATTGCTTATCCACCGTTTCTGTGCAACACTCTATATTTTTAAATATTTTTAAAGGGTCCTACCCTATTTTCTTTCTTTAAAATTTTTCTTTGTAACGAAAATACATCTTACAGCCTTTATTTTTCGGCCATCCCACTATACAAATTCATAGTCTTGTACATTCTACATGGACGATGTACAAACAAAAATTTAAGAACCATTGTTTATTTTAGGTTTAAAGGTGTTCACTCCTACAGAAGCATAGCTGAGATGCTAGAAGATATAAATTTAAAATTTGGTTTAACAGAAAATAAAATTGTGGGGACAGTAACAGACAACGGTAGCAATTTCGTTAAAGCTTTTAAAGTATTCGGCGAGAAAAATGAAGAGGACGACGATGAGGAAATTGACGAAGAAGAAAATGAATTGCAAATTTTACATTTAGAGGTTGATGAAGGCAAAGAGTTAGAAGACCAGGATATACAGCTACCCAAGCATATGCGATGTGCCACACATACTTTAAATTTAATAGCCACAACAGATTATAAAAATACTGTTATAAAACATTCCAACTATCCGCATAAGAGAAAAGAATGCATTTAGTAAATGTGCTCAGTTATGGAAAAAATCGAATAAACCAAAAAGCAATGAAGTTATAATTAAAATTTTAGGACATACTCTAAGTTCTCCAGGGGCCACTAGATGGAACTCCACTTTTGATGCAGTTTCACAGATTCTTCAAGCAAAAGAAAAACTTCCAATTTTGCTACAAAATCTAACATTAGAACCTTTTAAGGAAACTGAACTATTATACCTAGAGGAATACTGTTTAGTTATGAAACCTTTGGCTTTAACGTTAGATTTGTTACAAGGTGAAGAGAATGTATCTTTTGGATATTTGTTACCCAGCTTAATTTCATTAATTAATAAATATGAGAAACTTCTTGCCCAAACAAAATTGAAATATGGAGGAGAACATCTAGCAAAAATGTGCATTAAAAGCTTAAATACTCGTTTTGCTAACATTTTAAATTTGGAATGGGAAGATCCAATTATAGCTGCAGTTCTTCTTCCTAAATTTAAGCTAAAGTGGTACAATGTAGTACATAATCCCAAAAAAACTTTAGAAGATATCAAAAAATGCATTATAACTGTTGCAAAAAAACAAATGGAGTTGGAAAGTTGCAATGAATCAGACGAAAGTGGAGATCAAAATTTAGATGACTTTTTTGATTTTAGCGATTTCCGAGACCAGCAAGTGGACAATAGCTGTACTATTACATATAATGAACAGGAACAGGGTTCCAGCGTAAATAATAAAACTTCAAAAATACAGTTAGAATTGTTACGATATTTGGAGGACAAAAGAACCAATTTACAAATCCTAAATGAATACCCAACCTTAAAAAGGGTGTCAACAAAATATAACACATGCTTACCTTCGTCAGCACCAGTTGAAAGACTTTTCTCTTTTGCAACTATGATTGATACACCTAAAAGAAAAGCTTTAAGCGATGAACACTTTGAGGTATTGGTACTTACAAAGGCAAATTCAAAGGCACTTCTGTAAATATATGCGAAAAAATCTTCAGCGATTTCTTTATTAATACGTTTTTATTTTTATTTAATTTTTCTTTACATATTATAGTATGTTCTGGTTTGATTAATCATGTTCTTGTTTTATTATTCATAAGTAATAAACAATTTCTTGAGTGTTTTTTGATTTCTGTTTCCAGTATTTTATGCACGTTCTTTTTATTATTATATACAATAAAAATACATGCTCATCACATAATTCTATCACTAGCAATTTAGGTCACTTTTAAAAGTATCCTTAAAAGTATCCTAAGAAGTATCCGAAAAAAGTATCCGGATACTTGTATCCGAATACATTTTGAAGTGAAAGTATTCGTACTTTTTTAAAAAGTATCCGGATACATTTTGAGTATCCGTATCCGGTATCCGGATACTTTTTTTCTGTATCCGACCCAGCTCTGACGTCTAGGCATTGACAAAATGAGATGATTGATGTCTGCTTGTGGACAGCCTCTTTTCCATCATATCCCATATATAGGATTTAAATCCAAAGCACGCGGGGGGGGGCACGGCAAAACATTAAGGCCAGCTTCTTGGAGAAAGTCAATAGTTTGACAAGCAATATGGGGACGGTTTACAACAGTAAACCCGATATCTAGTCACTCTCCACTGCGGCGTCTTACCATCCTACGGCCATCATGAATTCCTAAACAGAAAAGTGATTCAAAATAAGCACTAGTCGTGTGCGGTATGAAACAAGTCCAAAGGCTCGAATGAGACGATATAGTGTATGTAAGTAAACTAACAGGTCTACCTACTATTCCAAATTCGCAGAGCCTTCTTGACGCTTTGTGGTACGCCTTGGTTGAGCAGTTTGTCTTCATTGTGTTCCTCTACGTTAGTTTGTCCACACACGACAGACACGCATACGTAATTGCCGCACAATTAACACGATGGCCAATTTAGCGATACGACAAACCCATATCTCTATACGCAAAATTTTACCCCTGTTAAAATTGCTAACATGGTGGTAATTTTGGTGTCTTTGAACTCGAGGCATTTTCTTAAACTGAATACAATTAGACAGGAATAATAATTGAAAATGTCTATAGGATCCGGTTTTCACAAATCGGTTTCTTCACAAAACAATTTAAAGATAAAACTTTATTTTTACAAAAAGTAGAAAAGATAAAACATTGGTATTGTTATCATAGCATGTTTTAAAAATAGTCATTCTGTTGCCAAAAAAATAAGTTCAAGAAATTATTCCTTCTAGTGTAACACCTCTAATGTCACTGAGTATAGTTACCTGATTTTGCACACTTCGCAGTAATGTAATTGCTGTGGTTTGGGAGGGGCTTTGGTTCTGCTGACGCCCTTCACACCTACTCCAGCCTTTCTGAAATTCTGCCAACCTCCTGCTGGTTTTGGAGCAGCATGTTGTGCAACATACATTGTGGCTGCAGAATATAAAACTTATGTATTACTTAATTTTAACTGATGTTTAAAAGGTGATTCGTTGAAAACATATACAGGGTTGGAACTTCAAAAAATGAATATATAGCAGATAAATTTTGTAACAATGTTAAGTTAGTCTATTACTACATATTATAGGTTACTGCTGTGCTGCTTAGTGATGTTAGAATGAATTCATCTAGAAAGATATGTTTATTTTACACTAGCATGTAAATAAGTGAAAAAAATCGGTTTAATTTGACAAATATTTTTTTCAACATTAATTTTTAATCTAGATATAAAGAGAATTACTGAATTCAAAACAAAAATTTTTATTGATTCAAAAAATATTATTGATTAGGTGATTTCTTCAGCTAATAATGGTTGAAAATTTCATCATTGAATCTCAAAAATTCACAAACGATCATAAAATGATGCCCCACGTGTTCAGCAACACTTAAAATCAATCTTAAACTTCGGTAATGTTCAATCACTTCAAAATTTTCAACTAGTTCATGAAAGTGGTAATTTTTTTATCTCTGAAGAAAAATATCACTCTTGCAACTTGGAACATAGGTTCTTCTTAAGGTAATATAATTATATACATACATCGTCCTTAACCAAGCAACACTACCCAATTTATAAATGGAATTTTTGTTTCATTTGATGCGAAATCTCAGGCAGAATATTTAGATGACTTTAGATTTGAAAAAATCTCAACAGATTTGGCTGTAATCACAATAAAGCAACACTACATATAACATTTCTCACCATAAACCATATATCTCATTCAGTTCCCATACCAAAACCAATGATAGCTGGTTTGCTGGGCCCATCGTCAACAAAAATAAGTTGAATGAAATCGTAGACTTCCACGGCCAGAGTCAGAATTATAGTTTATTCGTCTTCCGGGTTTGGACCGTGTCATTTGTGAGTGACCCAAAAGTGGGTTCATCTCGACGTTTCGCTACAATTGTATGTAGCTTCTTCAGGAGAACAAAGAAAAAGAAATCAAAGGACAGGAAGATGGGTAGTTAGCAACGGTAACTCAGTTACTCAACGCAACCAGAGGCGAATACTAACTACCAAGATGGGCATTTGGTCACAGTAACTCAACTACTTAACGCAGCCAGAGGTAAAAACCAAATGCCAGGACAGGGATTCACGTCCAACAGCTCAGAACACTAACGCGTCGAGAGGCGGGGAGTGAATCCTCCCCGCCTCACAATATCTACCCACAATCTCACAATATCTACCCTCAACTCCAAAAATCTCACAATATCTACCCTCTCCTAAGGACCCATTACCGCCTCTATCTTCCTGTGGTGTCTATTCTATTCCTTGTTCATGTGGACATGTGTATATTGGCGAAACTGGTCGTTCCGTGAAAACTCGGATTCAAGAGCATCAAAGATGCATTCGATCAGGTCTTTTCTCCCATTCTGCAGTTGCAGAGCACTGCCAAGAAACCGTTCATTCCATATTGTTCGAAAAAACCCATATTATTTCTAAGAGCCCCTTCTTTTATTCCAGGAAAATCCGCGAATCTCTAGAGATCCGAAAAGGGATTCACTCCCCGCCTCTCGACGCGTTAGTGTTCTGAGCTGTTGGACGTGAATCCCTGTCCTGGCATTTGGTTTTCACCTCTGGCTGCGTTAAGTAGTTGAGTTACTGTGACCAAATGCCCATCTTGGTAGTTAGTATTCGCCTCTGGTTGCGTTGAGTAACTGAGTTACCGTTGCTAACTACCCATCTTCCTGTCCTTTGATTTCTTTTTCTTTGTTCTCCTGAAGAAGCTACATACAATTGTAGCGAAACGTCGAGATGAACCCACTTTTGGGTCACTCACAAATGACACGGTCCAAACCCGGAAGACGAATAAACTATAAAAATAAGTTGTTTTGTTATTGCTCTTTTGTAAAGTTAAAGAAAATGTGTTACATTGTGTTGCTTGGTTGAAGATCTTTTTGTGGAGGAAAAGTCCTAATCTTGAAACTTTGTTTAGGTTCAATTTGATATGAGGAAGAACATTGTTAAACTTGGGGTTAACAAGTCTCCTTCTTTTCCCCATATTCTTATAACTTTCTTTGTATTTTAAAGAAAAGCCTTAGTGGGATTAATAGGAAGAAAAAGAAAAAATTACAATATATTTAATAATAACTTGAAAGACTGGTTGTAAGCACTACAAGTCTGCTTATCATCAGGTCCCCTGTAAGGTTAATTAACAGATAACAGTAACCGAGATGTGGTCAGTCTGTCTTACCAATAAAGAACTTTAGAGGACAAGGACTGGCAACATAGATTTCTCTTATTATAAGAAAGAACCCTATTGGAAGTTCCTTTTAATATTCTTTTGCTTTTATTCATTTTGTGTGTGTTCATTTATTTTTCAGTTATATATAAATAATTATGAATAAATATGTAAGTATGTGGGAACAAGTAAGGTAGGCCACGAGAAAGTAACTGGCTTATAAAGAATCCAAAAACGGTTTGCAATTAAAAAAGAAATAAATAAAACACAATGTAGCTCCTTGATAGATAGCACTATTACCAACATAAAATATAATTTTATCTACGCCATTTGAAAGCACAACAATGAATACTGTATTAAATCTTATATGGTCCGTTCTTTGACTTCCAAACCTGTATCATATTTAGTAATCTTCATTCCCATTTGTTTGAATCACCCTTTCAGTACATGCATTTACTAGTATTTTTTACAAGTATAAAGCATATGAACTAAATACATAAAACGCTTATTAGCAAAAATATTCATTATATAATGGCAAAAAATAAGATTATTAGATAGATACCAATATTTATTCCAGCCACGAACCCAATTTTAAATATGACTTTTTCATTTTATATATTGGCTATTTAATGTCTAAAAGATATTTGTACCAAATTTTACATTTTTAGTATTCCAAAATTCCCAAATACCTGAAAATTGAAACAAAAACTCACATATACAAAAGTGTCATCTGGACTGTCACGACCTACGCCGTGGATAAAAAAGCTGAAACTAGCTTAACACCAAGATACTAGAATTGAATAAAATGAGAATCTTAAAAACAATAACACGACTAACACTAAACGGCGAAACAAGGAATGAAGACATCAGAAACATGTCCAGGATGTTGGAATATCTAATGCTCTTTTACATTTTATAGGCAACATTGAAGATCAACACACAATATTCCCAAATAGAAATAAGAAAAAACATTTAATTACATTATTTTAATTATAATGTTCTGAAGCTATTTTCTAGTGGCATATTAATACAATTTATTAATTTTATTGGGAATAAGCAAAAATTTATTATAAAATACGTCTATTTTCATGTTTCGATTTTCCACTTCGAAATTGTTCCCAAAATACAAAATATTATTAATATAGGAATACAAAATATTCCACTTCGGAAATCGTTCTCAAAATACAAAATATTAGTAAATTTATTAATATTAATACATTATTCATAAATCTATTAATATTTTTTATTATGAGAACGATTTCTGAAGTGGAATATATTATTATTAATAATATTTTGTATTTTGAGAATGATTTCTGAAGTGAAAAATCGAAACATCAAAATAAACTTATTAAAATAAAATTGTGGCTTGTTCCCAACAAAAATAGTAAATTGTATTTTAATTATATGATATATATATATATATATAATATATATATATATATATATATATATATATATCCCGTTTATAGCGTAATCCGCCTTTGGGTTCCCGTTCGCCAAGCCTGTCTATTCTGCCAGTCTTCTTCAAATAGATTTCTTGCTGACATGGCTTTTGAAATTCCTTGCATCCATGTTGTTGGTGGTCGTCCTCGTTTTCTTTTCTCTGGTGGTACCCATTCTAATATTTTTTTTGGTAGTCTTTCTTCCCCCATACGTCTAACATGTCCGTACCATGTCAGTTGTTGTTTTTCGATGTCTTCTATAATTGATCTTTGTACATTCATTTGATTTCTTATGTCCTCATTTCTCACATGTTCTAATCGAGACTTTCCCGCTGCTCTCCTCCAAAAATCCATTTCAACTGCCAAGAGGTTACCTTTAAGTTTTTGTGATAACTGCCATACTTCTGAGCCATACACGATTACTGGTTTCAATATTGTGTTATATATTCTTTTTTTCGTTTCCGGTCTTATATTTTTCTGCCATAGTACTGAATTCAATGCACCTATAACTCGTTTCCCTTTGGTTATTCTGTCTTTTATGGCTTCATCAGTTCTTCCTGTCTTTGTTAGTTTTACCCCCAAATATATACATTGATCGCATTTCTTAATTTTCCCGTCTTCTAAGTCGAGGTCATCTGCAGTATTTTCTCCTCCTATGCAAAGATATTGCGTTTTTTGTAAATTTACTTCGAGGCCCCATTTTTTGTACTCTTCCATTAGTTTTCTAGCCATATACTCTAGGTCTTCCTTGTCTTGGGCAATAACTACCTGGTCATCTGCATAATGCAGCGTGTATAACGTTTCATCCCCAATAGACAGCCCCATCCCTTTACACTTCTTTTTCCATTGCCTGAGTGCTTCGTCGATATATATATTAAATAGTATGGGAGATAAACAACAACCTTGCTTCAGTCCTTTTGTTACCTGAAAACCATTAGTAACCTTATTTCCTATTTTAACTTTTGATATTGTGTTGTTATATAGATCTTTAATAGCGTCGATTAGTGAAACGCTGATACTGGTTTTCTCCAATACTTCCCACAATTTCGCAACAGGCACGGTGTCATATGCTTTTGTTAAATCGACTAAAAGTAAATGCACTTCTCGAGCTCTCAGTGTTCTTTTCTCGAGTATTTGGGATAAGCAAAAAATACTATCTATTGTGGATCGTCCCGCTCTGAATCCGTTTTGTTCTTCTGATTCAAAAGGACGGTATTCTTCGCATATGCGTTCTTTTATAATTCTCCCATATAATCTGCTAAGCGTACTCGTAACAGTTATACCCCGATAGTTATTGCAATCTTCCTTATTTCCTTTTTTATGGATAGATGTAATCCATCCTTCTTTCCAACTTTGTGGCACTGGTTCTCCGTGCAAGTGCCTATTGAAAACTTCTGTTAGTATCTCGAATAGTTTGTTGGTTCCATTTTTTATTAACTCTGCATATATCCCCTCTGGGCCCGGAGCACGTCCATTTTTCAACAATGATATAGCTTTTTTAGTTTCTTCGATGTTAATTGTTGGAGGCTCTCCTTGAATCAGGATTTCATGTTGTTCTATGTTTTTGAATTCCGGTCTTTCTTCTACTAACAGTGTTTTATAGTGTTGTTCCCATTTTTCGGGCTCTATGGAGTGTATGGCTATTTGTTCTGTTCTGTTGGATCTGATGTTTTTTATAAATCTCCAGGATTCTCTTGATTTGCGGCCGCCAATATACGTATCTAATTCCTGACATTTTCTCTCCCAGCTTTGATTTTTTGACTCTATTATCGTGGATTTAAATTTATTTACCATTTCTCTATATTCTCTTTTGTGTTCTTGATCCTTTGTTCCCAACCATCTGTGATATAATTTTTGCTTTTGATCTTTCATTTCCTGTAGTTCATCATTCCACCAATTATTTGTCTTTCTGAGTTTGTTTACTCTTATTCCTAATGCTTCTTTGGCCGCTTGATGTATTCCTTTTCTTATTATGCTATGTAACTCTTCTGTTGTTTTATGTTTAAATTCCTGTGGTAGTTGTTGCTCCAATCTTTTTTTATACAATTCTCTAGTACTATCGTTGTCTAAACTTGTTAGATTATACTGTAGTTGTTCACCTTCTGCTGAGTGATTTTCATTTAGATTTTTGTTTTGTTGGTGTTTACCGTTTCCGCTTAGCGGTAGTATCATTTTAGCTTTTACTAGATGGTGGTCACTTCCACATTCGGCTCCTCGAAATACTCTTACGTCATGCACTTTTATTTTAGATTTTAGATTTTTAGATAATTATATGATATACAAAAGTTAATATTTTGGAATGAAGTTAGTAAATAAAAAAAAATCTTGAGAAAAGATTCAGTTAAAATAATTAAAAACATCAAAACATTTGATACAATCTACAATTTAAAAAAATTGGTAGCACAATTGACAACAATGAATCAAATAATGAATACTTTTGCTAGTACATATAAACGGAGAGTGTGTCCAAATTTTTCCAAATGTTTAAATTTGTACAAAAGCTATAACCTACAATAAACTTATACACATGCTCATTCCTTTATCTAACTTCCCATCGTTAAATAATATTACCATTACCAATGTGATTATTCATTGACCCCTGCTAATTTTTTCGTAAAGCATTAGAATGATATACTAAATAAAAATTAAGAAACTACAACATTAAAAATAACAATTTATATACACAAAATGCATGCCTAATTGAATTCTACATTAAATAGGGTACTGTAGTACATTGAAAGTGAATCAAACATAAAATTATGCCATACATTTAATTAAGAAAAATATGGGAATAATATCACATAAATAGTGAAGTCAAATTACAATTATAAAATATGACATTGAAAGTTATTCTCAAAATTGTAATTGTAAAAAAAGTGTAGGAAAGACAGTACAAACTGTTACTGATCTTTTTATGTCCAATTTATGCTTGATTCACTACAATATCATATGTGTGACTCTTTTACACTGATTTTAAATTAACAAAGCATAAATACAAAAGCTAAACATTGTGATTATTCTTACTTTTCGGTTGAGTCGTCACTTGAGCAGCTGCTACTACTGTTGTCTGTGTTACTGGCTGAACATATGAGGTAGCCTGACAATCAACAAATTAAAATTTATTTAAATCTAAAAAGAAATCAAGTATTTAAGAAAATTTAAAATAATAATTTATTTGGGCCTTGCTTAATGGTGTTTGCTGAAAGTTTTACTTTTTGTCTTCTAGTTTTTACCTATCAATTATCTGGTCTTTGCAGATAATTCCTTCCAGGTGACACCACTATGACATTCTGTATATTTATTTGCATTTTCTTTCCAATTATTTGTTCTAATATGCCTACAGATAACTTTTCCTTTTCTTTTATCAATGAAACATTGTTTGTCCCTGTGTTAATTTAATATATTAAATGAAAACCAGTACCAAATGTTCACATACATTTAACAGTACAAGAAATAATTATGCAGCCATCTAATGTTTTATTTGCATCTCACATCCATTAAGTTAGTTCGCAGTTCAAAATTTACTCTATATTCTCTACAGCGTTGTTAAATATTTAAGTAAAAAATTGGATGTCTACTAAATATATGAGAACTTACCGAAACTTGAACAGTTTGTGGTTGCGTAGTCCTTTGAGTGCTGTATGTTGTGGCATATGTGGCAGGCTTGGCAGCTGCAGCTACAGCTACAGCAGCACTTTGATCATATCCAGTAGTATAGCCTGCAGCAGCTGTCTGACCTGATTAACAAGTTTTGCAAAGTAAAAACAGTTACTTTTACAATTATCTCAATATACTACAATATAAGAATATACAATACTTTAAAAAAATTAGCAGGGTGCAAGATGATAGTAATATTATAACCAGTATATATGTATATTGTGCTCTTTAAAGACTACAGATCTGTAGAAAGATAATATTTATTTTACTTTAATTAAAGGTATACAAAGGCAGTATAAATAGCATTTGAGATAGCAAATAAGCTTTTCTTACCAGTTACAAATGTTTCTTCATAATCGAAAGAAAAAAATAGATACTAATCATCAAATATACCATACCAAACTACAAATCAGAAAATTTAAAGCAAAGAAAGAAATATTTATACCTATTGTTTGTTAATCAAAAAAAGTCAACTGCTTTCTTAAAATGAGATTTTCTGTTTCTGATATTAGATATACATTCAAAAAGCCATAACTGCCTTCTATAAACTAAAGAACATTCTCATTAATAGGAATATTACATTTTGGGTGGATTAAATACAGATAGGTATTACCTTCTATACCTAATAATACAAAGCAAAATTGCTGAAAAAGAAACCCAGGCTGAAGAAGAACATCCTGCCTCCAAAATCTCTGAGAGTGGTATCAAGACACATCCGCTAATCTGTTTTGAGTTGCTGTCAACAAAGTTATTATTGAATATATGATCGCAAACGTTCGATAATCAGACAGTGTACTAAAAGATTAAAATCTTAGATAACAAAATTGGAAGAACTAAGCAAAAATGCACTCTTGGGAAACATCTTCAATAAAGCTAAAAAATGTAACTTCATCAACAAAGTAATTTTTCTTTAACTTTACGGGAGAAATGTACAGATGAAGAACTCTTCAGCAAACCAGCCCTCAATGATTTTGGTATGGGAAAAGAATGAAATATATGGTGTTGTGGTTAGAAATGTTATGGGTGGTATTTTTTATTGTGATCACAGTGAAATCTGTTGAGATTTTATCAAAACTAAAGTTATTCATATATTCCATGTGAGATTTGGGATCAAATGAAACACAAACCCCATTTATCAAAAAATTTAGTTATATGTAATGTACAAAAATCAATACACATAAATAAGAACGAGAAGATTCATAAAAACTACAAAAAAACATGATAAGACATATTTGAATGAAAAAATTTACTTTTACCCTGAATAAAAAACTACAATTAGACATGCCGATAAATTTGACCAATATTCGGATCCAGAGGTTTTTTGTGTATGGAATCCGAATCTGAGCTCCACATGCCAAATTGGCTCTGAGATAACCACAGCTAAAAGTGCAAAAACGGCAGTTATTGTGGATAACAGCAGTTTTTGAAGGTAACCTCTGTTTTTGAGGTTATGTAGCATCATAATTTAATTTTTCCCCAGAAGCTGTTATAACCATCTTAAAGTATGTCTAATCTTTTAAGTGACATTGAGTTTACTCAGACATCTCCTATTTTCCCTGATATATCGCATTTTAAATTTTCTTAGTTTTAAAAAACAAACAATACAATTATATAGTATAATGCAAAATCTAAATTCAGAAATTCCAAACTCATAAAACATTCCAACAACCTGCTGACAACCCAAGTCAACCTATAGGAACCATCCTTTCAGTCCACAAGCAGATAAGCCCACCAAAACCTGGAATCCCTAAGATTAATTGATTATTTGGTTAACTTTAATGAAAGTTCCAGAACAAAATATTTCGTTTTAGCAGTGTAGCGGATGTTTTTATAATGAATATGTTGTATGCTTCAAATATAAAGAGAGAAAGCTTTTAAAAATTATACATTTTGATTTTATTATATTATGAATTCTGCAATTTTTAATTTATATAAAACAGTAACAAGTAAATATTGGTCTCTTTCGAGATTAATTGCAAACATTTGGCAACTGGTGGTTTGACGATTTCCAAATGTATCTGCTAATCTATCAAAGGGCAACTGTCAAAAAAATTTCTAATAATTAACTGCAATTAATTTCCAAAGAAACATATATTTACTTGTTCTTGTTTTATATAAATCAAAATTGCAGGATTTGTAACATAATATAATCGAAATGTACTTTTCTAACGCTTTCTCTCTTTATATTTGAAGCATACAACATATACATTATAAAAACATGCCAATACAGTAAAACTTCGATATAACGGACCTCTATTTAGCGGACTTCGGATATAACGGACAAAACATGTACTGTTAATATTATACATGCTTAACCCATCCTAGAGCAATGCATTTTACAAAAAATTTCAATAAAATTCAGCATAAGAGGACACATTTCTAATAGTAATATGTATATACTTTTTGCTGAAAAATAAATAAATAAATAAAGCATTTGTAAGAGAAACATATTTTATCATAAACATAATATAATGTATCTACACACATAAGATATAAATTTACACATTTGTAGACAAGAGACAGAAAATGAGAATATCAAATATTATTAGGGGATTCCCTGATAAAAATAATGTGTAGGTTTCTATGATTATAATATGGATGTTTACCACACTGGCCAAGGATTCACGCAACTCTACACTCTAAGTATTGTGAATGAACACATTTAGTGTACGCCAGTAAAATTTTCGCAATCCTATCCTTTAAATATGGACAAATAGAAAAGAATCAATCTAACGCTCAATCAAAAACTAGTAAAAGTTAGAGTCTGGAACGTCTGTGTCTCTTATATGTGATCAATATAACATAAAAAGCAAACTGTTTTGGACATAAAAAAAACAAAAGTAAAATAAATAAATTTGCATTAATGTGTCATGTAGGAGAGAACAGAAGTCTCAGAAAATGAATGAAATTGGCTCTTAAAACTTCACTGGAAGAAGCAATCTTAAAATGGTACAGCCAATAACGTTCTAGTGGGGTCCTGGTCCAGGGATTCGAATTGAAATCTGCTGCAATTAAATTAGCAAATCATTTTTGATGATAAATTTGTTTGATGGCCAAGATGCAGACAAAATTAGAAGGGTTGCAAGTTACTGGTTTCCCTATGACAATACATAATAATGTCGAATCGAATGTGATCCTGTAAAATCATGACTTAAAGTGAAATAGCAGATGAAGTTGTGAACCTAAAAAATGAGGATGGAAATGATGATACCGAAGATGACAAAACAACACTGCCAAAAATGAAGTTAGAGGTAAGATCGCATCTCGACGATCTAATAACATTTATTGATTATTCATGAGATAACGAAGTTCAACTGTATTCTACGCATTTTAGTAATTTTAGATAGTTGATCATAAAAAAACAGCAAACATCAAAAATGGAAAACGAAACTTGATTACTTTTTCAAAACAGGATTACTGACAGCAATGCGTTGATATCAACAGTCCATCAACAGACATCACTTCACGACGAATGTCCAAAGACAATTAAATTGAATTTTGTATTTTTTATATAAATCTAAATACAGTGTACATACAAATTTTCAAAAAAAAATTGATTTATTTTAAACATATTTTTATATAATAGACTTTCGGCTTTAACGGACATCCCTTACCCCCAAGTAGTCTGTTATATCGAGGTTTTACTGTATTGCCAAACTGAAATATTTTTTCCATGGTTGACATTTGCAGCTATATTCGGCTTGTACTTTTGTTAAAGTTAAACAATTATTTATCATATCAAAATAAAATCACATGCAGTAATTGTGTTTACTGATTGAAACAAAGTCCCTCTAACCCTATCTACCCCTACAAACCACTCCCATTTAATCCAGAAGCAGGAAACCCCACCTAACCATAGAATCCATAAGATTAATTTGCTAATATTTTTCATTAACAGTAAAAATCACATGCCTGGTTTGCATGACCTGAAAAATGTCAGATGAACTACTATTGTACTTTTTGGTTAGAACATCTCAAAAACTAGTGCCAATTTGGAGCTTAGATTCATATTTCGCACACCAAAAATCTTCGGAAAAATACATTCTGGGTATCATTCTTGTCTACCTGTATTATCTAAGAAAAAAACTATAAAGACCAAAAAATAAAAAAGACATTCATTAGAAGGAATTATAATGGTAATGCTGATTGCCAATTCTGCATACCAGTTGGCACATAAAAAATAAAAAAACAAGAGTGACATGATCACAATTATCACAATTTTGGTAATTTTACTTTTTAAAGAAACAATCATATTTAATTGAAAGGAACTAAATGAATAATTAGTAAAGAAATTATCAAATTGCTTACATAAAAACTGAACAAACTGATTGAAATCCATTTTAAATATTATTCAAATTTACATAACAGATTTTAATACCATATGAAATGACCATAATATGAAAAATATTTAAAAGTTGACAGAACCAAAAGTATTACATGTAAAAGAAACTAAAACACTAATTATAATTTCAAAAAAAAAAAAGTAGAAATGGATATTAAGCTAAAGTTGTCATTCCACACTTGATAAAGACTTGTTTTGGCACCTAATTTCTTATAAATTATTTAAAAGGAAGAGAAAGACATAATTAATATTTTTGTAATTGGTTTAAATAAAAATATGATTACAAGTTAATATTAATTATAAAAAATGCTGTGTCCAAAGTTTTTTCAGACTGTCAGTAAGTACTAGTGGTAAAAACTAAATATATGCAAAACTATTTATGAACTGTATAATAAACACTTTCTACAAATCTATAATTAACATATACAATTTAAAATGGCTAATAATACATTTTAACAACCCAACAAACCAGTGTTTGGTAGATTTGATTAAACTGTCAAAATAAATATAATGGTTAGATAAAGATTATAAACTGTTTAGTACTCACTTAGAGCATTAAAAATAGACAAAAAACCAGAAAATAGTCAATAATAGTTACCATAACCATAGTCATATGAAGTGGCCCCAGCAGTACCCACAGTGGCATAAGCTGTTGGTTGAGCTTGGTAGGGTGTCTCGTAGCCTGTAGCCCTAGTTCCATATGTAGCAGCAGCACTAGCAGGGTTGCTACAGCATACCCTGCTTGTCCGGTCTGATAGGCAGCTCCGGTGGCTGCGGCCCTAAAATCGGAAATATTTTGATGTAACCAAACACATTTAAAATCCCAGCTCTGTTATCTCACGTGGAGAAACTTATTTTCGGTGACTAGAGTACATATACTTTGAGAATTGCAGAATATTGACGACCTAGCCAGTATTGATCGAATATAGCAAACTAAAATGCCGGATATTCAACAACCAAGGACGCCGGTAATCAAACCAAACAAATATGATTCTCGCGCCGTTAATGAAATTTTGTAAACAATGAATGGATATGTCAGAAATAAAAACTTTATTTTAAATTTTAAAATTATATCTACTTACGTATATTGTGTTCCTCCATGAGTAAATCCGAAATAATTATTTGTAGCCATTTTTGCAATCACGTTTGATTGACTTGGACTTGACACCTCTACTGCTGACAACTGACTTTTGACATTAGACAAAGTTAGTTTCGCTACAGTATATTGCTAAAGAAATATTTGCTTTAAATTTGATGACGTAGGAAATTTAGTATTTCCATTATTAATATAAAAAATATTTTAAAAAGGTTTATTTTTATATTTTCAATATGTATTCGTAGTAAAGATAGGTAAATAGGAGAGGATAAATAAGAGGAATATTTAAAGAAAACTGCTTTGTAGTAATTATATACCTACTTTATTGAGGTCGTTGATACTTCGAAATTAAAGGAAATAATAAAATAATAGGTAAGTATAAAAGAAACATATTTATTTATTTAATATATTGAAATACGACATTTTAGTACATAGGTTCAGTCTTTTAGTTTCTCCTCAAATTGGTCCAATGGATAATGTTCTTTGTAATTCTTTACGTGTTCAATCTGAGCAATTTTTTGTTTTCTGAAATAGAAAAATTCATATTTTAAGCACATACGTATTGATGTATTGTAAGTTATGAGAAGTATCGTATCAGTAAGTTAAACAATTGGTTTAAAAAACACAAAAATATACTTATATAGATTGATTTTCTGTAAGGATTTGAGTTTACAAAATGGACCAAAAACGAACTAATGTAGAATTACATATGATAATGTGCAACATCACTTACTGCAAATGCTGAGGCATATATTTATATACATCATCAAACATTGCAGCCCAATTCAACTTAAGTTTCTTTTCTCCTGATGTAAAAGCTTTCATCACGTCACCTTTAGCTTCTTCCATCCATAATTTTTCTTTAGTATCGTTCCAAATATTTCTTTTTGTCAAATAATACCTCAATTTGTGAGTGGGGTAATCGTTGCTTTTCCAGTGATTGATTTCTTCTGATGATCTGTAGGCAGAACTGTCATCTGAAGTGGAATGATCTCCAACCCTAAGAGAAAAAATATATAAAATTATTAATATATCACCAGTAGAGCAAATAAACACAATATGGTGACATTGAAAATAAGTAGATTAAATTTTAGGGAGATAGATCTAAAGATAATGGGCAAATGGATCCACAACGCAGTCTTTAAAATTACCTATAGCTCATAGCTTCTATTAAAACAGGTTTATTTTCTCTTAAAGCATATTCCTTGGCCATTTTAGTAGCATTGTAAACAGCGAAAACATCATTACCGTCTACTCTTAAAGTATTAATACCATAACCAGGACCTCTAGCAGCAATTCCGTCTCCTTGGTACTGTTCCTCAACGGGGGTAGAGATGGCGTAGCCGTTATTTCTACAGAACAGTATAACTGGGCAGTTTAGGGTTGCTGCAAAGTTCAAAGCTGCGTGGGTATCACCCTCAGAGGCTGTGCCTTCTCCAAAATAGCAAATCACGATGCGGTTTTTGCCTTTCAAGACATAGGCAGATCCTAAAACCGAAAAAATATTAAGATTCCCTGTTATGCTGAAGGCAACGTAATAATTAAATAAAATGAAAATATTATGTATGTTGCAAGGACTAACTTACCCACTGCCTGTGGCAATTGCGTCGCCAAAGGACTCGATATTGTAAGAAAATTAATGTCCCTACTACCGTAATGGACTGGCATAGATTTTCCCTTCTCCAAGTTATCCTTATTACCATAACATTGATCAACAAATTGTTGCAACGTAAAACCTCTCCACAATAATACCCCAGCTTCTCGATATTGACCGTAGACAACATCTTCGTTAGTTAATGCAGCAGCACTACCTATGTGAGATGCTTCTTCACCGTAATTTGTCATATAAAAAGATATTCTACCTGAAAAATCAAACGAATAAGGGAATGAAGGAGAAAGAAGAAGGATAAAAAGAAATACCTTGTCTTTGAGCATCGTATAAGATTTTATCCATTACACCGAGAAGTGTCATGTCTTTGTACATCTTGACCATTATCTCTTCTGACAAATTCGGATCATCTTTTGTGTTTATAAGGTTTCCTTGTCGATCTAATACTCTGTAAACCGGAATGGGTCCATAGCTTTGAGGTCCGGTAAACTCCAATTTTTCTGTCCATGTTGTTCTGGCTCCTGGAAATAGTGGAGCCGAAGAATATTTCTGGAAATATATATTCTTTAATGATTACAATACTTACGTCGAGATTATTACTAAATTATTAATATTGGATTATCTAGACACGACAATAAGTGGCGAAGGAAATCAAAATTTAGAAATAGCAATTCTAATCAGAAAATATAGCTAATATATGGAAATGTGCCAGATATGGAATAAGACCTCGATATGGAATCATCTCAAGTAATTTAAGATTAACCTGTTGCAAATACTTGAATTTGGTCAATACAAAAAAGATTGCCGTGTACCTTATATATGGAATAAAAAACTTCCTATTATGGAATATTCCATATTAGGTACGCTTCTTTTTTGAGATTTCAGAAGTAATTCTAAAAAAGGTTTATGTTAAAATAAATACTATATAAATTAATTAATAACATTTTTGTTCAGAGTAATACCAAAGAATATAGGCGCACATGCGTGCATTTTAACTGCATCGAGCTGTTGTATGTTATAATGTATGTTGTATGTTATATGGTGTGAGATAGTATTTTCAGTGTTTTGAAATCTATTTCGTGGTTTTTAGTAAATCGTTGTTTGTTGTATGTTTGAATTTGAAAAAAATACTATTGTTAACTATCCGATAGGTGATTAAAAGTGCGTGTAAATTATTATACCTATTTAAAATGCCGTCGTGTACCGACGGAAAGTACTGGAAACAGAGTTTAATTTAATGCATGGAACGTCACTTTCTAAATAGAAAAACACATTTTCATTGATACCTGACCGTACTGTTGTCATGCTTGGTAATGAAGTAATATACCTTATGAAGTTATTTATTGCCTTAGTCGTACCAGACGCTACATAAGATTGCGAGAAATTAATAAGCAAATTAGTTTTGAAAATTGTAAAACTGGAAATAAAAATGTTAAAATTCACAAACCGTAAAAAAAATAAATAAATACCTACGAAGTATTAAAACATTATTCTGTTAAAGCGCTTTCTATATTGAAATAAATATTCGTAAATTCCAATCACATTGAATATTTTTTTATTTCATTTTTATAAATTCTTTCAAAAGTATTTTTGTATCTCAATATCGCCGTTTCATTTACAACTGTATTCGATTTGAAAATTGTAAATTAGTAAATCCACAATGGGATAAATTAAAATTAAAAACACTCAACCTAACCAACATCAAATAACTTACGATTTGCATCGATGTGACGTCACTGAAGATGCGCGTCGGCATACCGTTGTAAGTGTATCGTGGGTAAAATGAACGAAATGAAGGAAGAGTCGTAGCTCGAGAGGTTTCGAAAATTTACAAAACAAAAAAAAACACGTCAAAAAATGTTGGGCGCCACCTACCTGCGTAGGAATTTGTCAGTAAGAGCCGAAAAGGTACGATTATCAAAACCGTTGTGAACTTAACTATTATAGAAGGTACTTGAATTACTGGTGTTATTTAAATATGTAAATATATATGGTATAAAAATTGACAATCGTGAATCAGATGATTGAAGAAAATGGAAAATATTGATAATTATCATTTATTTTGCGTAAACAAAAAAATGTCAGATCTAAGTTGGACACTGAATGCGCACTGGAATTCACTAGGAAATATTCATAAACATAAATTCGCATCGTCATAAACATAAAAATCATGTTGACATTTACATCAAATAGGATAGTCATATTGTAAACAAAGATTCCAATATAAAATCTTTGGTACTGAGTAAAACCGGCATAATAACGTATCTACTGGTACATCAGTCAAGAATCCCCGTAGCATATCTACTTTTTATTCAAAATTACAAAAACTAAAAAAAACTTAAAAAGGAAAGAAAAATATTGTCAGTACGTAAGTTTTATGTCATATACGAAAATAAAAAATTAATATGAAGGCAAGTGTAGCAAATGCATGTCTATAACAAGAAAACATAAAATTATTTAACAAAAACAAATTTACTATAGATTTATTAAGCATTGCCTGTCATATCAAAACTATAATGCTGAGTTCAACAGATCTTTAATATTTATACTTAATTATCTAAGAAAATTCACACAATAATTATTTTATAGCTATAGAGCTCCCAAATAAATATAATATTAGAAAAGTTCCTCAATGACTTGATCTTAGTCGCATGGATAGAAGTAATAAAGAAAGTTGTTACCTTGGCTCTGCACTACTAAAAATCCCCACGAACTATCATCCGTAAGACAATACACAATCAGAAGTCACTTGGCAAAAGAAACAACCCTGATAGATCTGTTATCCTCATTATTGAACCACTATGAACTCTCGAAACATAGTACAGCAAAACAGCAAATGTTTATCGTGAATTAACCGCTGATGGCTAAAATATCTCCAATTTTATCCACAAAAATTAACAACTTGTCAACTATTCGTAATCACTCAATAAACCTTATAACGAATAACTCAAATAATTTGGTAGGGTACATTAATTGTTTATTTTTCAATAATCGGCACTGATGGACAAGATAAAGTCGGAATTACTTATTTTTTTGTCACACCACCCCGTTCTGTACTTCACCGGCTCCTAAAAAGTAACCTCCCTTCCGGAAGTATGGAAGTAAACACCTCATCGCGCTCAACCTTAGCGCTCAACGCGCTTCCTTTCTCTCAACTTCTCGTCGTCTTCTTTTTCGCTATCAATTACAGAGGTATCAAATACACTTACAGTAATTACTAGGTATGCAACTTGTTCAGTTTTCAGAATATAATTATTTTCTATCTTTAGTCGGGTACTCAAAATTGCCACACTAGTGAATCTGTCTCTTAGAACCAGAAGTCTTAATCAGCGATCTAGTCGCTCTGTGGTACCTCTGTGACGTCCAGAATTCCTCGCTCGATGTCCTCGTCCTTCCTGAGTCCACGATCGTTCACAATGCAATATACTGCGTAAGTATCTGTTGGTCCCGTAGAAAAAAACTTCTCTTATCTATCTTATCTATAGAGTATTCTTCTTCTTAGGGTACCTGTCCGTTCCGAACGTTGGCGATTATTCTGGCTATGATGACTTTGTTGGTTGCTATACGAAATAGCTGTGTTAAGGTCTTTCTATACCATGCTCTCAGGTTAGCAAGCCAGCATATTCTTCTTCCTCCTGGGGTCCTTTTTCCTTCAATTTTACCTTGCAAACTGCATTGGATTAGCTCATATCTGCCTTGATTTCTCACTATATGTCCCAAGTACTGTAGCTTGACATCGTAAATTCACTAAAACTAAATGATTCTCTATCACTAATCAATTCATACAGTCACAACAAAAACTTGACAGATAATCCTGAAAATGTTATCACTTGTTCATGACAAGATAAGTCGATATGTAAAAAATTAATGAATTGTAATAAAAACGCGCAGGAGTTTTTTTTTTCATTCAGTATATTTGGAAATGCGTATCTTAAGGTACAAACAGGACCAACGCCGTTAATGGCTTTAAAAAGACCGGAATATTTCCTTTAAATCGCGAAATAATGAAAAAGAAGCATCTGCAGTAGATGAAAATATTGCCATTAGTATAGATGAAGCGAAATTTAGTACATCTAAAAACACCATACCGGTACCAACCTTAAAAAAAAGGACCTCCAAGGAGTAGGGCACCTAGGAAAGCAGCAATTAATACCTCGTCTACATACAAAGACTATTTAGAAACTTCAATAAATTCCTCTTTAAAACAATCCAAAACAGTAAAGCGGAAATTGTTAACGAGATCATTAAATAACCAACGATCATCCGGTGGACAGCTTCTACATAAGACGAGACATGAAGAACGCAATCTTTCAAGATTTCTCTTCAGAATTTGAATTAGTAAGTTATAAAGAAGATTCTTCTCATTATAAATACATGCTACATATTGCAACAGACAATCCTGCGAAAAAAGATGCTACTTGTTTGTATTGCGATGGAAAATTCTAGTGAGACAGATAAAGAAGAAAAAAGGATATAACGCATTGTCTGCAAGAAAAAAATCCAGAAGAAAAAAAAAGCTATCCTTAAGGCTTTAGTTCCTGTAATGCCGATAAATCGAAGATATTTTTGGAAAAATACTTCTGTAAATTTTGATTCATTAGATTTAATAACGTCTTTTGAAGAAGATTAACTACTAAGAACCATAATATGGTTTTTTTTTTAAAGTAAAAGTTTTTCTAAATATACACTGTGCTGTGAGTGGTTTTGTACTATTTTTTAAATATGAATTTAACCTCCGGTAAAATGTAAAACACTGTATCTGCTTTAAACTTGGTCAAAGTACAAATTTGTAAAAACGGCAACCTCACAAAATAATTTGAACATATTTACAGTCAAATAAAAAATATTTCGCTTAAATAGTGTTTATAGATCAGTTCGGCGAAACTTTTAAAGTTAATTGCGTTTTTCTCGAAAAGTATATGTCTGCAGATACTGTGTTTTTCATTGGGTCAGCCGAATGGGTCAGTATGACACACGCTGGTTTACATTCGTAATTTCATAATACGTTTTAAAGATGATACACTCAGATGTTACAATGTTATATACACTATTTATAAACTGACCCGGTTGAATAATATAAAAAGCTTTTCAAGTAAAAAATGTAGTAAGAACTAATTGCTGACTGGGGTTATGTTATCCGGCGCCCCGGCGCATAGCGACCTACCACAATGTCAATTCATTAGAATCATAGATATTAATTATATATATATATATATATATATATATATATATATATTATATAAATATATATATATATATATATAAATATATATATATATATATATATATAAATATATATATATATATATATATATATATATAATATATATATATATGATTTCAGTTGTTTTCCGGGTTTGACTCCGCGTTAAGTAATTTTGGTTTTTAGAAAAACCATTGTTTTGACGACGTTTCGGCAAGGTCACACTTGCCATTGTCAAGTCAGATTAGTTCCGCTTCGTCTTGATGTTTCAGGAGAACAGTTCTCCTGAAACATCAAGACGAAGCAGAACTAATCTGACTTGACAATGGCAAGTGTGACCTTGCCGAAACGTCGTCAAAACAATGGTTTTTCTAAAAACCAAAATTACTTAACGCGGAGTCAAACCCGGAAAACAACTGAAATCACATATAGCTCCCGCGGAAGTTTCAAATCCAATATATATATATATATATATATATATATATAATATATATATATATATATATATATATATATATATATATATATATATATATATATATAACGAGTTTACTACAGCTGCCGCCGTTTCTCTCAACCTAGCTCCCAACGCTTGCGATCGTTCCAGTCATCTACTTGTAGACCCCATCGTTGATCATGCATCATTTCTACATGGCCATACCATTTCAGCCTTTTGCATTCTATAGTTTCCAGGATGTCAATGTCTATGCCCATACGCTCTCTGATTTCAGTATTCCTTACTCTATCTCTTCTAGTGAGTTGGCAACATCTTCTCTAATAATTCATTTCCATTGCTTTTATTTTGGATGCGTCATTTTTATTTATTACCCAAAGCTCTGAACCATATGTAGCAATGCTTTCTATAATACTTTTGTATATCCTAATTTTTGTGTTTCGGGTGATGTGGTTATTCCAAAGTATACTATTCAGTTGACGTATTGCTGAATTTCCTTGACCAATTCTAGTAGCTATTTCTTTTGTATTCCGACCATTGTTTGTAATGTTTACACCGAGATATTTATAGCTATCAGTATTTTAAATTTGTTTGCTTCCTAGTTCTAAGTGCTTTCCTTCACCTCCCACTACTACGTACTCTGTTTTTGATGGATTAATTGATAAGCCCCACTTAGTATATTCTTCATCTATTTTTCGTAACATGTAGTGGATATCATCTTGATCTTCTGCAAGTATTACTTGGTCATCAGCAAAATGCAAGCTGTACAGTGTATGGTCTCCAATTTTAACACCCATAGGTTCACATTTTCTTTTCCAAATATCCAAAACCCCCTCCAAATAAATCTTAAAGAGTGTAGGTGCAATGCAGCAGCCTTGGCGAAGTCCTTTGGTCACTTTTATCTTTTTTGTCACTTTTTGTCCAATCTTTATTACACTCGTCATATCATCGTGCAACTCCCTTACAGCATTAATGTAAATCGGTGGAATATTCTTGTCTTCTAGCACCTGCCATAGCTTGGCTAATGGGACACTGTCATACGCTTTTTGAAGATCAATAAATACCATGTGTGTCTCCATATTATGTTCCAAACGCTTTTCTATTGTTTGTTTTAGGCAAAACACATTGTCTATACAAGAACGACCAGTACTAATGCCACTCTGATCTTCAGCGTCTTCCCAACAATCTTCAATTCGGCTTTTAATTATCTTCCCGTAGACTCTACAGATTGAGTTAGTTACACTAAGCCCTCGGTAGTTCTTACAATCTTTTCTGTCGCCTTTATTTTTGTATAGATTGCTGATATATGCAGTTTTCCATTCTGGGGGCAGCTCTTCTCCTCTCAAGAATAAATTAAAAGTATAAGCCAATAGCTGAAATAGTTTGTCAGGGCCATATTTAATCAGTTCAATGGATACTCCCTCCGGTCCTGGAGCCTTTCCATTTTTCATAGCGTTGGCGTGTTTTTTAATTTCTTCTGGTGTTATTTCAGTTTCTTCGCGGTAGGAAATATCATATTTTTGGTAGCCAATATCTTGGAATTCTGTTCGATCTTCTGTCAGCATTTGTTCATAATATTCGACCCATAATTCTGGGGCTATTAGAGTTAACCTACTGCATTCTTTTCTATCTGTTCTACTACCTCTAATTGTTTTCCAGGCTTCTTTACTTCTTGCTGTACCCATAAAATTTTCTACGTTATCGCAGGCTTTATTCCACATCTCATTTTTGGCTTTACTTACCTCTTTTTTACTTCTTTGTTTAAGCTGTTGTACTGTTGTCGATAGTAAGGGTCCTTTGTTGCTAGCCATTTGTTATACATATTCTTCTTCCCCACAAGATCTTCTATTTCTTTATTCCACCATTCATTTCTATTTTTTATGCTATCCACTTCTCCAATAGCTTCCATTGCAGCTTCGTCAAGAGCTTTCATAATTTCGTTGTACGTATTAATTGGTGAGGAGTAACAAACATCGTGCAATTTCAGATTCAACCTCATTCGATACAGAAACTGGGTAGACTCATTTTCAAAACCTTGTAGATTATATCTCTTTGTTGAAATGTCTTGCAGTATCATTGAACTTTCGTTTTCTTTTTGTCGTTGGCTTCCTTTAAATGTAAATAGTAGTGACGCTTTAAGCAAATGGTGATCAGATCCACATTCTGCTCCTCGATGGACTCTAACGTTATTAACCTTTATTGTGGAGTTTTCTTTGCATATACAGTAATCGATTATTGATTTCAAATTCCTCGTTGGCTGAATCCATGTGAATTTATGAATATCCTTGTGCTGATAATATCCATTCATTATCTTTAAATTCATATGATCGCAGAAACTTATTAATCTTTCACCGTTTTTATTTATTTTTTCTTCTCCAAATGGACCGACCACTTTGCTATTTACTTTTCTTCTGGTTCTAGCATTTAAGTCACCTATTTAGTAGAATTACTTCCTTCCTAGTTCCAATACTCTCTACCAGGTCCGTCAATTCGTCGTAAAATTTATCCTTTACCTCGTCCTTTTCATCTTCAGAAGGTGCATATGCGCCCACTACCACTATGTCACGTCCTTTTAACTTCATCTCAACTTTTATTAGCCTTTCGTTTATTTGTTCCCAGTTCTTAATATTTCGTGACAGCCTTTTCTTTATCAATATACTTACACCTGCTGCTGCTCTCCTGTCTTTTCCTACTCCACTATAGAAATGAACAAAATCTTTAAACTCGTCTGTCCCTTTCCCTTTCTTTTTTGTTTCTGTAAGGACTGTTACATCCAATTGAAATCTCTTAATTTCTTTCAACACCTCATCAAGCTTAGTCCGAATACCTTGCACATTCCATGTTCCAAAACTCATTAACCTTTTTCGTAAGCTGGGTCGTTTTCCGTTAAGACGGAACGCCGGACGCGTTTTATTTCTAGGATTTTTTACAGTTTTTTTTTTCGTGTGATGGGGAGCAGGCCCATCGCCACAACCTCCAATCCTGGTGGACCGGGAAAATTTCTGTAGGGGCCTTCTACCTTTAGCCGAGTGGCCCCAGTTTTTGGGTGCTGGAGACGCCCTCACCCTTCTCATTCTGAGATAGGATTTGCTGATTTGAGAAAAGAGTAATAGCTGTGTTTTTCTTTGTAAATATTGATGAATTAAAAATAAATTGAATGCGAATTAAAAATACAAACCAAATACCTACAAAACGGAATTCGATATATGGCACATCTCTACTAATATATATAAAAATACTCATAGTTTATGGCAGTAAAATATAGTCAATGATCAAGGAATTTCTTATTTTTAATATAATTATATATTGTTAGTAGCTCTCTGAAACCTATCACCTATCTATGCAATAATAAGGATCTGCTTATTCTTAAGAGTGGTAAACATCCCCCAGAGAAATCAAAATCGTACAGATATCATTAATTTAACTTTACCTCATTTCTTACAAGAAGTATAGAAAAATACTAAACAAGTACATTATGGTAACGTAAAAAATGACCCCCTACAATCTAATAATAAATAGTCATTCATTCATTTGGCGGTCACGCCAAAAGAATGTCTGTCCCCATTTCTAAGAGAAAAGTAGGTATGTCTAAAAACGATACGGAACAAAAGAAAGGCAAGATAAAGAAATGAAAATATTGCAGCCAACAATATACCGACATAAATAAGCACAAAAATACAACAATCCTATATATAATCTATAAACCACACGACAAACAAAACCATATTAAGAAACAAGTCCTTACATTAATAAAATCAAAAAAATTATTATGCGAAAGACATTTAATAAAATTTTATAATCCAAAAAACAATAATTATAAAAGTAATTAACTTTTTTCTTACCTGGACTAAGCTTCTCGTCAGGTTCGATTTTCTGGTAAAGGTGCGAAACAATATATTGGCAGAATAATTCAAAGTCATTTTGAAAATTCACAAAAATCTTCTATTTTTCTTCTAATATACAAGATAATCACAATAACCTTTGACACGAATGGTTCTAATCTGTATTACTAAACATATAATACCACCACAATTAGAGACGTAAGGAGTACTAGTTCATGTAATAAACAAATATATAATGTTCTTTTTTAATACGGCATAATTAAAATGATTTTTTTATACCTCTATATTCCACATTCACACAATTAACCGGATGTTAATAACTTAAAGCTGCATAAATTACGAAATAATTACTGTTTTGTTATCAGTTTAATGTTTAGAGGTGGGAAAATTCAGATAGTAGTTTCACTTTTATAGAACATTCATAAATAAAGTCAGTTTTTTTCTAAAAATAAATTCCTGTTCAAAATTATGATCGTATCACTTCATTTTACGAGTTATATTAATTTATCTATTGTAATGGACGAAAAATAAATAATGTATTTTAAATATAGGTCTTCTTCTTCAAGTGCCATCTCCGTTCCGAAGGTTGGCGATCATCAGGGCTATACGTATTTTCGAAACTGCTGACCGAAACAATTCGTTGTTGCTACAACTATACCATTCCCCTAGATTCTTTAGCCATGAGTTTCGTCTTCTTCCTATGGACCTTTTTCCTGCTATTTTCCGTTGCATAATTATTCGAAGCAGTTCATATCTTTCGCCTCTTGTAATGTGTCCCAAGTATTGCAGTTTTCGTTTTTTGATCGTAAATATGATTTCCTTTTCTTTATTCATTCTTCTCAAAACCTGGACATTTGTGACTCTCGGTCCATGATATTCTCAGGATTCTGCGATACATCCACAGTTCAAATGCCTCTAATTTTTTGATATCAATATTTTTCAACGTCCATCTCATCAGGCGAAAGTACGTAACATCTCATCAGGCGAAGTTTCATTTCAAGGCTTAAATCTCTTCCGCAGAACACTCTCTTTATTTTAGTGAATATAGATCTGGCTTTTTCTATTCTTATTTTGATTTCTGCTCAGCTATCGTTGTCTTCATTTATAAAAGTGCCTAAATATTTGTATGTGCTAACTCGATCGATAATTTCATTGTGAGGTATACACATAATACGGAATTCCAGAAATATAGGTACACAAATCATAATAATTTAGGAGACACATATTTTAAAAGCTTTAAATCAATATTAGCTGCAAATATTAAAGTAAATTGTTTTCGATTCTCATATCAACTTGGACGGTAATGCTGATAAGAAGGGCTATAAAAAATTTAACAAAACTTCAATACCTATGCATTTTTTGTCTATAGATAAAAAGTAATAGATGTTCCATTTTCTATGAGACAATGGTTAAAACTAGCCTACTTTATGGAGCTGAGACATGGAGAATAACCGAGAAATATAAGAAAAAGGTCGAAGCCACGGAAATGGATGCCATCAGAATATATTCGATGATATCATCGAAGCCATCGATGAGAATATCAAGAGCCGACAGAATACGGAATGAAGTGATAAAACAACAAATGGGTATAGAGGGCACTATAGTTGAGGATATTGAGAGAAAACAGCTCATATGGTATGGGCATGTGAGCCGAATGGGGGACGAAAGATTGCCTAAAAAAACGATGATGTGGCAACCCCAGAGAAGAGGAAACGAGGAAGACCACTACAGAGCTGGAACCTGTGAGTTAGGAAAGCGATTAGCGCTCGAAATATATATATATATATATATATATATATATATATATATATATATATATATATATATATATATATATATATATAATATATATATATATATATATATATATATATATATATATATATATTATATATATATATATATGCTGAAGTCCAATTATGAACCACTTGATTTTCGATGTCGATTTTTATTTAGTTTTGCAATTGCCAATAGTAAAGAGACATTGAGATGCTTAGGCTGGCAGAAGTCAAAGAGACGTTGCTGAGGTCTTCCACACGAACAGAAGTGTCATTAATCGCTTGTGGTTAAGGTGTAAGTACTGGTGATGTTGAATATCACCAGTGTCATACAGACCGTACAAGGATAACCAACCAGATTGAATACCGTTTTATAAGGTTGCAGGCTTTGCGAGATCGCACTGTAACTGCATCACAATTACAAATGAAGCTGCAAGAGACCCATCAGGTGTTTGTAAATGGTCAAACTATTAGAAATAAACTGCATGAAGTAGGGTTAAATGCCTGTAAGAGAGCCTGTATTATCCAGAGGAAATCGCTCTCATCTATTTCAGTGGACAAGAACACGTAAATTGGGTGAGAAGTGAGTGGGCCTCTACTTTGTTCACAGATGAGTACCAATTTGGATTTGCACCAGATACAAGACGGACACGAATTTGGAGACGATTGGCCACTGTGGAGGAGGTTCATACACAGCAAGGCGGCAGTATAATGGTTTGGAGTGGCATCACTCCTGCTGAAAAAAACAATCTCGTTTGTCTGAAATGGTTTCTAAATGCAACAGACTACTGTGATACCATTCTTTGAACATATTGTTGTACCCTTTGCACAACGAACTGGTCCCCAATTTGAATTAATGCACGATAATGCGTGTCCGCATACTCCCAGTGGCGTGCGAAATTCCTCGAAGATAATGAAATTGAGGTGTTACCATAGCCTGCACAATCGCCACATTTAAATTCAATTCAGCATTGAGGACCTTTCAAAGGAGTGGAACAGAATACCGCAAAAAGACATTAACCATATAATCATGAGTTCACTTTACAGATGTAGGGCAGTAATCACCAACCGTGGAGGTCATACCCTATTCTAACTTAACCTAAAGACTACTTTTTTGGGAGCTGAGGGGCAACAAATTAGTTTTAATTTTTTTCTGTTACCATTTTTTGACTTAGGGAGTTTCTTTTTTTAATTTTCTTAAGAGCTATTACGATAATTCTAAGAAAAATGTTCGTTTTATATTCGGGACACTTGTTTATAACATTTTATGAAAAATATTTGAAATCTCGTATTTTGTTTTTGTCCCCTAGATTATTTTGATGCGTGTAATTTTAATTGTATATTATTTATTAACAAAACCGAGTTAAAGTAATAAGGTTTTGGTTACGTAAGAATTTTGATTTTTTGAAGAATTTCAACTTCGATACAAAACAAAAATAATACGGTCCCAGGCATCAGTTTCTATTTTTCATATTGAGCGTTGTCAATTCTTGCCCCAATAACAACCTGAAGCCTTCATTACATTCTACTTAATAAATTTTGGAAGTTTTTGTGGTATGTTTTCCCTCTCCTCACGAGCGACTTGCTACAATTCGTTTAAAGTTCGTAGAGGAGGACTTCTACACCGGATACGCCATTTTAACATGTTCCAGATATTTCGATCAGATTCATATCGAGCCTGCGTGAAAGCCTACTTTGTAAAGGGGGCGACTTGGCTTTCCTCAATACATCAAAAACAAAAACACAAGTATGGGATCAAGCTGTATATGTTAACAACTCCAATAGGATTAGTTATCAATTCACAGTGTATGCTGGAAAATTATGTATTAGGCAAAAAAAAAATTAAATGAAAAATTCAAATGTCACACTGAAAAAGTGGTAATACAGTTACTTGATAAGTATTTAAGTGAAGGGCATAGTATTTACATGGATAAATTTTACAATAACTTTGGCCTGATCCGATCATTATTGCAACATGAAGCTCATTGCATAGGAACATTAAGGTTGAACAAAAGAAACATCCCAGATGCCACAAAAGAGGTAAAATTAAAAAAAGGAGAAACTGTTCACAGTATGCAGATGGTGTTTTAATAGGAACATTGCGACAAACGAAATGTTTCCTAAAGAACTCCAAGAAATGGAAGAACTAAATAAACCATCAGAAACCAGAAAATCCTACCAAAAACTTAACAAAGTAGAAAAGAATTTAAACCAAGAACAATGATGTACAGAGACAAAGAGGGGGATATAGTAACTCAACACAGTGAAATACTACAAAGATGGACAAAATTCTTCAAAGAAGAGTTTGAAAAAAACGAAGATCCACTATATGATGGAATTATACTGGATCAAACGGATACCAGAGAAACAACCCCTCCTTCAGTAGCTGAAATGCAAGAAGCAGTTACCAGACTGAAAAATTACAAGTCACCTGGATTAGACAACATTAGCGCAGAATTAATAAAGGAAGGCGAAGACTCCCTATTGAATGCGATACGCGAACTAATAGTGAACATATGGAATAATAACAAACTGCCTTAAAACTGGAATACCGGAGTAATTATCCCACTACATAAAAAGGGAGATCAACTTCAATGTAACAACTACCGAGCAATAAGGCTACTAAATGTGGCATATAAAATACTGTCAAATATTTTGTATGATCGATTGAGACCATATGCGGAACAAATAGTTGGGGGATATCAATGGGTTTCCGTAAGAAGAAGTCCACAATAGATCAGATCTTCATCTTGAGGCAAATCTTGGAAAATACTAGTGAATTTAATATAGACACACATCATATTTTCATTGATTTTGAGAGTGTCTATGATAGCATCATTCAAAAATTTCTTATCCATGCACTGAAAGAGTTTAATATTCCAACTCAACTCATTGATATAGTAAAAGAAACACTTAAAGTAAAGTATAAAGCGAAATTCGAATTCAAAATGCACTAACTAGTCCAGGCTGTGAGGCCGCTCCCGTTGGGAAAATGTTTCTGATTCGGTTTCTTCGCGGATTCCGGTTCAAAAATGTCCCCTTTAAACAAATCTGAAGGGTGCCGGGCGAAATTTTTGGGCAGAAATTGTTTAAACAATTTTTTTAAACAAAGTCCAAAAATAATTTTTTTTTAATCTGGAAAACGTTTTTTTAGGTTTTTTGGATCATTTTAAACAAAAAAAGTCTCTTGTCATTTTTCTCTAAAGTTGATAGTTTTCGAGTTATAAGCGATTTAAAGTCCGAAAAACGCGAAAATACGCATTTTTGAGGCTTGAAAACACATATGTAAATTACTATTTTTGAGGTTACCAAGTGTCTAAATCAAAGTTTAAACATTCAACTTCAAGATTGTGAAGAGTAATCGGGGCTTATTTTAATTTAGACCGTTG